GAATGGGGGTGGGGGGAGGGAGAGGGAGAGGGAAAGTATATGTGAAAATATTAATAATTTAATAAAAAAAGAAAAAAAAACAAAAATGATGAATATGTGTGATATAACATGTTAATTGGTTTAATTTAGCCATGCCATTGTGAACATACTGTATTCTTTATCATAATTGTGCATGACTTTATTTATGAACTAAATAAATGAATAAAAAAATTGATGTGTGTGTATGTGTGTTTGTGTGTGCATGTATGTGCAGATGTGTGTATATGTGTGTTTGTATGTGCAGATGTGTGTTCATGTATGCATGTGTGTACAGATGTGTGTGTATATGTGTTTGTGTGCACATGTGTGTGCAGATGTGTGTGTGTGTGTGTGTGTGTGTGTGTGTGTGTGTATGCCTGTGCAGATGTGTGTGTATGTGTGTTTTTGTGTGCAGATGTGTGTGCCTCTGTCTACAGCAGAAGCCAGAAGAGGGCATTGAGTGTCCTCCTCTATGATTATCTATTTTTCTTTTTGAGGAAAAGTCTCTCCCTAGAGCTCCTATTTTCTTAGGTAAGCCTGAAGCCAGTAGACTCCAGTGATCCTCTTGACCCTGTTCCTTAGAGCTGTGGTTAAGCTGTTGGCTTGTTACATAGATGCTGGGACCCAAACTCAGGTCCTTGTGATTGTAGACCAAGTACTTGTAACTACTGAGATATCTCTCCAGTAGCCTTTATACATTTTTCTAAAGTTATTCCAATGGAAAATATTAGGAACAGACCACTGAGATCTTCTTAATCTTGTAGCAAATATAAATATTTCTTATTGCTCCCATTTTTAGGTGTGTAATTGGAGATAGAACCAAACATATAAGCTAAATGAAAGCTTATGAAATTAAAACCTCCCAGACACAATATCAAGATATTTGCCTCCATAATAGGTATATTCAATTATTTAAGTCACTAACTTTATAATTAACCTAGTTGGAGTTACCTAAATGCCAAAAACTTAATAACAAGGTTTTTTGTGCTGTCCAGCTGGCCAGTATAGTAGATTGAATGTACATAAAAATGCTTGGAGGCAAGGGAAAATGCTTGTAGGCAAGTGGGGGGAAAGCCACTATATCTTACCTATGCAATCATACCGGCGACTGACATATTTCAATTCAAAACCAATATGACATTTGCAGTAGTAGCTTCCAAATGTGTTCACACATCTCCGATTGTAAGGGCAGACTGCTTTTCTAGAAGCACATTCATCGATATCTAAGGTATAGGAAGGAGTAGAAGCTGTGAGTGATCAGGAAGACTACTCCAACACACACACATGCACAGGCACTCACCTTAACCACCAGCATGTTATGTGCAAGCATATGCAGTCTCCTTGTCTAGCAAACTCATTATCCAGCACCTATGTCACATATTCAGGAAGTATTCTAGATCTTTACCAGGCACATGAACAGCTCTTTAGTTTACAGGTTCGTATCACTGTGCCTATCCTTTCTTGAGGGGCAAGTACTTCATCAACTGAACTATTGTGCTGCATTCATTCTTAAAACAACAAGTAAGTACTGAATTGAGCAAAGTTATTGTTCAGTGATCATTTTCCTGAGCATTAACTCTTCCTTTCAATTAAAATGGCACTCAACCAATTAAGGAGGTAGGCAAAAAATTTTGAATTTAGTTTGATCAAGACTTAGTCATATTGCCGGGTGGTGGTGGTGCATGCCTTTGATCCCAGCACTTGGGAGGCAGAGGCAGGCGGATCTCTGTGACTTTGAGGTTAGCCTGGTCTACAGAGTGAGTTCCAGGACAGCCTCCAAAGCTACAGAGAAACCTTGTCTCAGAAACAAACAAACAACAACAACAACAAAAACCCTTAGTCATATCAGGTAAATCTTATACTAAAGGATACTAAGCTCTTTGACACTAATTTAATCTTTGATCACTCTCAGAAGGAAGACAGAAGCTGGGGCTGGGCGCGGGGGGGGGGGGGGGGGGGGGGGCGGGGGGGGGGGGGGGGGGGGCAGAGAGAGTTACAGGACAGCCAGGACTATATAGAGAAACCCTGTCTTGAAAAACAAATAAACAAATAAACAAACACACACACACAAACAAAAACAAAAAAAAAGAAGAGTATAAAATACATGCATGTTTTGAAAAAGTGTTTACCTGGTCTCTATGGCTGAGATTACTTTACACACAAAATCCATCAAATTATATACATTTAGAAAAAATAAACATGCAGCATCCTGACTGAAAAAGTATTTCTACTACACTGAAGAGGTATTGTATCATATTTATATTTGCTTATTTAAATAAAAGAAGATTAACTTTTCTCAAAATTCTGGTCTCATTGGCTCTCCCTTATTGAGACTATGTGTCCATCCAACATAAATGTTATGTGTATTTGGTGCAATGTGATTGCTCGGAATATATACAACCAGGCAATTGAATATAATTCAAATTAACAATGGTAACCAAGATGCAAAAATGGATGAAATGGTGTTTCAGCTACCTAGGATGCCCTGCCACTCAACCCTCAAAGCTGCTATAGGCGGCATGCTAGACTTGCTCCTGAGCCTGACTGGGAGGACTAAGGAGTCTCACCCTGGAGTAGCCCCCGCCCATGAGTAAAGAGCAGGGATTGATGGATAGATACCCCAAAACCTTGCCTGAGAGGGAAAACCAAGGGAGCTTTCCTCAGAGTTGTGGCTTGAATATGAAATGTCTTCCTTGGGTTTATTTGTTTGAACACTTGGCCCTTGGTGATGTTTCGAAAGATTGTGGGACTTCCAGGATGAGGAGCCTTACTGGGGAGTGAAGTGACCATGGGTGGGCCTTGAATTATGATAGCCAAATCTCACTTCCTGTTAGGTCTCTGCTTCCTGCCTGTAGATGCGATATGACCAGCTGCTTTGCGTCACACGCCTGCACCATGCCTTCCCCTCTATGATATTCCACATCTTTTCAACTTATAAGTCAAAATAAGCCCTTCTTCCCTTAAGTCCCCTCTTGTCAAGTATTTGCTCACTTCCTAAGTCCTCAACCAGTGTTTTCTTGGATCTCCTACTGAACCAACTATTTGGTCCGCTTCTGTGGATCCACAAACTAAGATGTGCAATAAACCAAGGGAGCATGGAAATTAAAGCTTTAGGCCACAGATTTTATTAAATTAATGGCTATAAATGAATGGCTTATGTGTTTCTTAATTGCTAGTGATTTAATCTGCCCATTTTGTCTAGTCAGGAATAACGATGAAACTATAGTTTTATTTATTTATTTTTTTGAGATAGGATCTCATTATGTATTGCTCGATGGCTTGGAACTCACTATGTAGACCAGGCTGACCTTGAACTCACATAAGTTTGCTTGCTGCTACCTACCATGTGCTGGGTAGTTTGTGTAATTTAAAGCCAGGTGTATTTTGGGACAGAGTCTTATGTAATCCAGACTAGTCTTGAACTTGCTGAGGATGGCCTCTGATTTCCTGCCATCATCTGTCAAGTCTGTGGTTACAAGGGTACTATACCACAGCTGGTTAATATGGTGCTGCAGATTGAACCCAAGGCTTTTTGCATGCTAGGCAATCACTCAACCAACTGAACTACAGCCCTACCCCCCTAGAGCAGGTTTTAAAGAGAATGTGAAAAAGTGTTGAAAACAGTGCACTAAACATTATAGGAGGCATATACTATTTCCACTAAATTAATACTTACGATAAAAAAGCAAATGCATGTTTTCCAGAAAAATGATAGCTAGAACTTGAAATAAATCCTAATGGCTCATAAGATCTGACTCATTGAATTAGTGGTGGCATGTCAGTCTCATGGTAATCGGAGTCAAATATGCAGTGTCAATGCAGTAAATGAAAAGAACCTTTATGCCTTACCCATTAGGCAGACTAGACTACTAGAAGACTGCTTTTTCTTATATCCCTAAGTATGTAGAGAGCACAAATTACTGAAGATAGTTCATAAATAGACAGAGATCAGTACTTTGAAGAATTCACCATATCTATTCAGCACACGCCTTGTGAAGAATGAAAACGGAGTTCAGTGGAAAGGGAATGGAGGGGAACGGAGAGGAAATGGGAGGGGAATGGAGAGGAATGGAGGTTATGCTTTCTGTTTTACCTAGGCACACTCTTCCATTTGGGCCCAGGCGGAGGCCAGAGGATGGACACACACACCGTGGCCCTTCCTCTGTTTCTTCGCAGCTGTACTGGCAGTTTGCCCTGGCACACGTCCTAGAGTCTGCAAAAGTAGACAAAGATTAACTAAGAAAGTCTCTCCCAATTCTGAGATGTGAAATGTATTATGTCTTAGGACAGGCTTCATGGTCTGAGTCCCAAAAGGAAACCCACAAGGAATCTGGGCAGGTGTATCACCTCTATCCCCTTTGTTTTGCCTACTTTTTAATGTGGACACGGCATCTGGAGCTGAAGCAGCTATATATTCACTGTGAGGCCACAAATATGAGAAGAAAATCACTCTGAGGACAGTGGAGACTAAAAGGCTTTATTAAGATTCTCCAAAACTGGTTGTCTTTAGCATTTTTAACAAATGACATAGCTTAGTTGGAGTTTTATCACTTTTTGCTTAGCATAACTTATTTCACAAAATGTACTTACTTAGCAGAAGTCCAGTATATATGGATTCTAAATGCATGGGAGCTTAAAAAATACCCACTATAGGTGTGTGAACATGCAAAAGTATTATACATACATACATACATACATACATACATACATACATACATAACACACACACACACACACACACACACACACACATATATATATATATATATATATATATATACATACATATATACACACATGTGTATGCATGCATGTTTACGTGTGTGAGTACAGGTTTGTGCATGCCACAATATATGTGTGAAGGCCAGGACAACAGTGGCTGTTAGGCTGCACTTTTTAATGATGTTGATTGAGATAGGGTTTCTGTTGTTTTTCTACTGTGTATTCCAGGCTAGCTGGCCTGGAAACCTCCAGGGATTCTTCTGTTTCTGCCTCACATCTTCCCGAAGTGCTGCTGGGATTACAAACCCTTGTGCTGTTTTTTTTTTTACAAAGGTTCTGGGGGTTTGAACTCAGGTCCTCATGCTGGTTTTTACCTTCTGAGCCATCTTCTAGCCCCCTCAAAATCTCTTATACACCAGTGACCACAACCATGATTTTTGTTAAATGTACTCCATTCACCCACCTCCATAAAATGCTAGTCATTTAGAGGGACCAAAGACAGTGAAATGAGCCAGGAGGAATAAAATCAGCACCCAGGAAAGAGGCCAAGGACTGTACTTTAAGCTCTAACTGGAGAGGCACATATAATCCCTAGAGGGAAAGAAAGCAGGTGTAGGGATGGAGACCTATTACTTACGTCTTCTCTTTTAGCTATCTTCTTTGAAACTGAATCATCAAAATTAACATAACTATCTTTCCATTTGGGGAGAGATATCTCTTTTGGCACTGAATGAGCTCTCCTGGAATGTTTCAGAATCATCCATTAGCATTGATCTTTTAAAAAAGTTCAGAGTGATTGTGGTAAAAACCTAGATAATGGTCTTCTTAGGGGAGGCATAAGAGAAGGGAGTTCTGGCCAGGTTCTAGTTGGTGGAAGTCACAAGGGTGCTGTACATGAATTCATTAAGCTATCAGATTGTTCCATGTGGGTTTCTGTTTAATTTATAAGAATAAGGATATTTGAAAAAGACACTGCAAATGTCTGTGTTATCTCTTAGGGTGTTTGTGAAGGGAGGATCTGAGTAATCGGTGGTGAAGGGACAGGACAATGAGGAGCCAGGGGGCACTAGGCAAGACTAGAAAGTGATGACCTTGGAAAGTCTGGGATGGGCTGGGAGCCTGCTTGACTGCAACCCTGGGAAGCTGGCTGAAGGCAGCTGGCTTGTGTTTGCTGGGGGCCACAGGGCAGAAGAAAATGAGATGGCAGGAGCAGAGGGAAGGCAGACAGAGAAGGTGGGTTTGCCTTTCAGCTGCAATGTGAAACTTAAAAAGCCTCTCCTCTCATGAAATGAATGGATGGAGACTCCCACCCTCCCACAGGACACCGGTTTCATTATCACAGAAGAGCTTTTCTTTTCAGGAATGGGAGTCAGAATGCATTTCCAATGAGACACTCTAATCTCTGGGAGTGGGGCAAGGGGCATGGGAAAGGTAGCTGGTGGCAAGGATTGATGGCCTGCGTTGCTGTGGAAATTTATAACCTCCCCTCGCTTACCATGTTTAGTTTCATGATCGAATTCAACTCGTCTCCACACACATACATAGAGATATATAATTGATTTCCCCCAGCCCCAAGAGTCTTTTTGCATTTATAAAGTGTCTAGAAGAAACAAATCCATAGAGACAGACGGCAGATTTGTAGCTGCCGAGGGCAACAGGGAGCAGCTGCTAATGGTTAGGGTTTTTTCCCCTTTAGTATGCTTTAAATTTTATTTGTTAAAATAGTATGTGTGTGTACATGTATATGCATGTGTGTGTATGTGTGTGTGCCTATGTACCTGTGTGTGTGTGTGTGTGTGTGTGTGTGTACTTTCAGTCTTTCGAGTGGATGGTTACATGAGTGCTCCAGCACACATATAGAGGGCAGAGGACAACTTTCAGAATTTGATTCTTGCCTTCTGCCTTGTTGAGCCATGGTCTCTCATGTTACTTCTGTTACTACATTGTCTACACCATGGACTTCCTGCCATTTCTTCTGTTTCCACCTCCCATCTTGAAGTAAGAGTGCTTGGAATTACATGTGGGAGCCAGGCTTTTTGTGGGTTCCAGGCATCAAACTTAGGTGTCATCAGGCTTGCATGGCAAGTACTCATCCACTGAGTCACCTTGCATGCTGAATGGTGATGAGGTGATGAACTTGTTCTGGGACTTGATTGTGGTCATGGTTGCTAAATATTGTGAAGATAGCAGGTCACTTGATTTGTCTACTTTTGAATGGTTAAAATGGTGAATTTTATGTTATGTACATTTTGCCATAATTTTAAAAAGTAACTTCCCAAAGATGTTCTAGTCTATGGGTGATGTTAAAGACCTTTATTTTTTGAGACAAAATCTCATGTATCCCCATGTTGACTTCAAACTTGATTTATAACTCAGTTTGACTTTGAACTAACTTCTTATCCTCCTGCCTCCACCTGAATGCTGGGATTACAGGCATGTACTACCATGCCATGTTTATGTGATGCTGGAGATCAAACCCAGGGGTTTGTACATACTAGGCAAGCACTCTACCAACTGAGCTATATCCTCAACCCTAGATATATTTTGTTTTGTTGTTTTGAGAAATGTTTCACTATATAGTCCTGCCTGGCCTGGAACTCATTGTGTAGATGAGGCTGACCTCAAACTCACAGAGATCTGCTTGCCTCTGCCTCTTGAACGCTGGGGTAAAAAGTGTGCACCACCATAGCAGGATAACCCTAGATATGTTTTAAAAAGTTGTCCAAGTAAGTCCTTCCCCATGCACTTAATACCCAAAGGCAAGTCTTATAGCACTGAGTGGCCGTTGAAACTTACTTGAACATGTGGCATCTGGTAGAAGCATGTGGCCACTGAGGCAAAAGCATTTGTAGCTGCCGTGTGTGTTCACACACCTGTGCTGGCATGGCCGGGGTTTGGCTCCACACTCATTCACATCTGCGGAGCCAGTCAGAAAAGGGAGATAAGTTAACAGAGTCAGAAAACATCCATGCAGGGTAGACTAGGTGCCAATTTTCAGAAGGACAGAGGCTCACCACTTATGTCCTTTCAAACTGTCAAATGTTTTTCCACTTGGAAAGATTGGTGAGGATGTGGAGCAAATAGGACAATTCACCATTGGAGGGAATGGAAATTGCTACAGGCAGTTTGGAAAACTAAAGTTAGAAATAGGCCTACCTATGAGCTAGCAATTTCAGTCTTGGGTATATTCCTAATAGAAATGTTGACTGTTCTTTCATACCACACGCACAATCATACACTAAAAAGATCATAATAGCATATGTATTAGTTGGAGAGATTCAAATACACCTCAGCAGGGTAGGTATATGATGAGTATGCTGTATAGCAGTTAAATAGAGGAAACTACAAGTATATACAACAAAAGATGATTTTCACAAGCAGATATTAAGTAGAATAATCTGGGTACACCCATTGCATACACACTGTGATGGATGAAGTGAAGTCGAGATATGTCTTTCTCTTCTATCTATCTATCTATCTATCTATCTATCTATCTATCCATCTATCTATCTATCTATCCATCTTCCATTGTCCATCTGTCTGTCCATCCATCCATCCATCCATCCATCCATCCATCTTATCTATCTATCCATCCTTACTTTGTAGCCCAGGCTACCCTGGAACTTGCTTCATCCTCTCCAGTGCTAAGGATCACAGGCATAAGCCACTTACCATCCATGGCTGTGATTTTCTTGTTGAGGGAAGAAATGCTCAGATGGGTGGGAGGCAGGACCTGTTGAATTTTTGTTTTTGGTTTTTGTTTGTTTGTTTGTTTTTTTTTTAAATCTGGGTTACAATTAGAAAGGTTGTCGGGGACCAAAAATTATCGACTATGAAGTTTCTTGGGGTTCAAACCTCCACTCCATTTTCCGGGAGCCTGATTCTCCCATTGTCTTTCAGATGCTGGCTAAATTGCCAGCTTGGCCTCAGTGGAGAATGTCTCCTAGTTTGCGTAACAACAGACCTAGGCACTAGGTGTGTCTGTTCCTATTCAGAGAACTTGCTTACGTGCCAAGAGACTGTTTAGGTGCCTCTTGAATTAAAAGAATTACTTGATATCAGCTATACACATGATAGTAGATGCCTTCTGTGGTCACCCCCACTGTTGGAAAGCTATATAGGAAGATGTTAGAATAAACCGGAGACTCCAGTTTCCAGCATGGACTGAGAGCCCTCCTGAAATGACAAGATGACTGTGTCTGGTCTTTATCACTGTTGGGTAGCTAGGAATTTCCCAATCCAGCACTCCCCAACTCAGGGATGGACCCGGGGCCATTTGACTGGCTCCAATCTCAGCCCCAGAGACATCAGTTCGGAATAGACTGCCCCGTAGCAGGGGACTAATATAAGCCAGACCCCAGCAAAAGATATTGTGGCAATTTACCAAGTTGTACATTTTATGAAAACATTTCATTTATTATTATGAGTGTATGTCTGTGTGTGTGTGTGTGTGTGTGTGTGTGTGTGTGTTATGTATGTAAGAGTGTGAGCACATGGATGCCATGGTGTATGTGTGGAGGTCAGAGAATGACTCGCGAGTGTCAGTTTTCTCCTTCTGATGTGGGTCCCAGGGATCAAACTCAGGTTATTAGACTTGTACAGCAAGTGCTCTTACCTGCTGAGACATCTCACTGGCTCAAGTTATACATTTCTAATATATGCACACTTGTTTTTTTTTTCGAGACACGGTTTCTCAGTGGCTTTGGAGGCTGTCCTGGAACTAGCTTTTGTAGGCCAGGCTGGTCTCAAACTCACAGAGATCCTCCTGCCTCTGCCTCCCAAGTGCTGGGACTAAAGGCGTGCGCCACCACCACCCGGCTATATGCACACTTTTATATGATGCTACTAAAATAAAGAGTTAGAAACATAACATGTGAGAATTTATGTCTTTACTACTTCCTAAATAGCTCATGACAACATTGTTGTGATTTTGGGTGGCTCCAGACCTATACCCATTGTCTTAGCTCATACCACTCTAAAGAGAACACTGGCAGGCAGTTGATAGTGAGGTTGCAGCACATTTAATTGCACATTAAGGTGTACTCAGTGTGTTTATAAAGCTATGTGTACAGATTAGCAACAAAACAGAAATGTGTGTGGAACAAAACCTGGGGTGAACAGCTCTCAATGCTAGCCATGGTTGTGATTAATTGGTATGTTCAAGGTTGTATTTTGGTAAAAAAATTAAACATTAAGAATAAGTAACATATCTTTTAAAATAAGAATGATAAAGGAGGTGGGCTAGGGGTGTACCTCGGTTAGAAATGTGCTCACCTAGCATATGCAAAGCCCTGACTTCAATACCTAGTGCCATAGAATGCAAGCATGGTGGTGCATGTCTGTAATCTCAGCACTTGGGGGCCAGATACAGGGAGAATCAGGAGTTCAAGGTCATCTTTAGCCTGGGATACATGAGACCTTGTCTCAAAAAGGAAAAACAGTACAGGAGAAAAAAAATGTTAAAGGATATTGTGATGAAAGGATCTGCCTTGTCTTTGGAAATCCAATTGTGGAGGAAGACTCATAGCGTAACTTCCAAAGGGATATATATATAAAGGAGAAAAGAACCAAAGTCCCCAGAAAAGGAGACAATTCTGAATGGCAGCAAGCAGAATGTTCCCTTGAAGAGTAAAACAATAGCTCTTCCTGCCTTTGGAGAATTCTGCAGATGCAGGTTTTGTAACACCCAAAGCTTCCTTCCCCATTGCTTGTCCCCTTGATCCCACCATCTCCTTTAGTACTCCAACCACCCTATTGTTTTGTAAAGCTTTTATTAGGTTATTGTATTTTACACAAGTGTGTGTGTGTGTGTGTGTGTGTGTGTGTGTGTGTGTGTGCTCACTGGCCCCCAACACTACCCTCTTAAAAGAGGGTAATTGAAATATGTGGACTGGACATAATGGAAAACCCAGTGTATCCCATCTCTTGGCTTTAAGCCAGCGGTGACTCACTCATGTCTTAGAAAGAAGATTTTTGGAAACACATTAGTTGAGGCCTGAGGCCTGTTGCAATGATTGGTCTTTGATCAGGCTGCCATCGGGTAGGGAGGCTGTAGAGGGAAGAGAGACATCCTCAAAACTTGAGCCAACTGGACCACTCTCTCAGTGTTATAATATTTAACTGGAACTTGAGAAACAGCATGAGAAATAGGTCTTCTAGTCCAAAGGGTTCCAGAAAGGATCTATGGAAAACCAAGTATCTGGTATGAGAGATCTAATAAGAGGTCTCACTGATGAACCTGTGATTCTCAGTGTTTGCTGTGTGTGCATGTTTGTGTGGGTTTGGGTTCATGAGTATGAATGAGGAGGCCCAGGGTTTTGGAGACAGGAAGAGAGAACTCAGCTATTAGGTTAGGCCAGTGAGCCACAGATTACAGTTCTTTATCACCATGCCCAGCTCCTTTTGGATATGGGTGCTTGGATCTGAACTCTTAATTGCTGAGCCATCTCTCTGGCACTCTGGAAGGGTTTCATGAAAGCTATTAAACGTGATTGATTTGCTGGTTGTGCTCAACCTTATCTCAGGGTTAGGGGCAGTTTCTTGTGGCTTTCTTTCTGCAAGGGTTGCTGACAGAACTCTCTTGACATTTGAGTCCAGATCATTCCTTTATGTTGGGGCTGGTCTGTATTGTGGGGTGTTTAGGAGAAGGGATGGAATTTATTCAGTAGATACCAGTAGCAACACCTTTTCTAGCTGTGATAACTGTGTCCAGAAGTTGACAGATGTCCCTAGAATGGCAAAGCTACACTAGTTGAAACTTCCAGTCTACAGCCAAGACCAAGGGGCCCCCCTTTCCTCATCAAAGTGCTTTTGTTTGTGTGTTTGTTAATTTTTAGACAGGATTTCTTGTATGCAAGGAACCTGCTATGTAGCCAAGGATGAATCTTTAATCCTGCTGCTTTAACTGTCCAAGTACTAGGATTCCAGGAATTTGCTATCACATCCTGCTTATTCCATATTGGGGAATACTAGACAAATACTCTACCAACTGAGCTCAAACTCCAGCATTCTGGGGTGGTTTTTGTTCACTATAATTTTCACAGTCTCTCAGCATCAACATTTATTGCCATTTGGACCAAGCTATTTTTGTTGGTACAGGGTACTTTTGGTCACTGCAGGGTGTTGTAGTGGTTTGAATAAGAATGGCCCCCATAGTCTTGTATATTTGAATGCTTCGTCATTACGAAGTGGCGCTATTAGGAGGTATGTCCTTTTTGGGGTAGGTGTGGCCTTGTTGGAGGAAGTGTATCACTGGGAGTGGGCTTTGGGATTTCAAATGCTCAAGTCAGATCCATTGGCACTCACTCTTCTTGCTGCCTGCAGATCCAGATGAAGAACTCCCAGCTACTTTCCAAGCACCATGTTTGTTTACATACCACCATGCTTCCCACCATGATAATAATTGAACCAAACCTCTGAAACAGTAAGCCAGCCCTAATTAAATGTTTTCCTTTATAAGAGTGGCAATGGTCATGGTGTATCTTCACAGCAATAGAAACCTTGACTAAGACAGATGTTTAACTAGTAGATGCCAGCAGTACCTCCTCCAAATGTTTTTCAAAACTTTCAGATGTCCCTTGGGTACGATTCCTGAGTTTGGCAACTAAAAGTACAGGATTCTCAGTTAAGTTTGAATTTTAGCTAAGCATCTAGCATGTTTTTTAGTAAGCACACATCACATACAATATTACTATATAAACCTTTTATCCAGTTATTACTTATCTGAAAGGTAAATGCAAATGGACATTATATATTGTCTGACAACTTTCTTTGGAGGACAGAGTTTTTTCCTAGACTTTTCTTGTTCATTTGAGACAGGGTCTCAGATAACTCAGGCTGTTCATGAGCACATAATGAGGCTTGCCTCAAACTCCTGAACTTCCTGCCCCTATAATGCTATGTTCTGGGATTACAGTTATATGGCACCATACCTGTGCTAGATATTATGTAAATCCTTAATTGTCATCAGATAAATAGCCTAAGACAAATATTATAAATTATCTTTTGAAATATATCTGTTGCTGGGCTGCAGGTGTAGTTCATTTGGTAAAGTGTTTGCGTGGCATGTACAAAAGTCCTTGATTACATCTCTAGCTCCATATACACTGGGTGGGGTATATATACACCTGGGAAGTGGTTGCAGTAGGATCATAAGTTCAAGGTCCATCTTGGGCTACATAGCAAGCTTAGGATATATGCTCTGTTTCAAAGCAAAACAGACCAGTGTGGTGTCACATACCTTTAATCCTAGCACTCAGGAGGCAGAAGCAGGCAGAACTCTGTGAGTTCAAGGCCACCCTGTTTTACAGAATGACATCTAGGACAGTTAGAGTTATATAGTAAAACCCTGTCTCAAAAACAAAATCTCTCCAAAATGTTTATATTGGGATAAATCTATGCACACTATCCAACAATTCTGTTTTTAGATAGTTATCTCACAAACACCAATCACTCCAGACTGAATGGCCATGAATGGATGCTCCTCAACTGAAGAATGGATGGTTTGCTTCCAGTTTCTGGCTATTACAAACAATGCTGCTATGAACATGATTGAACAGATGTCCTTGTTGTATGAATGTACATCTTTTGGGTATATGCCTAAGAGTGGAATTGCTGGATCTTGTGGTAGACTGATTCCCATTTTCCTGAGGAATTGCCACACTGATTTCCAAAGTGGCTGTACCAGTTGGCACTCCCACCAGCAGTGGAGGAATGATCACCTTTCTCCACATCCTCTCCAGCATAAAGTGTCATTGGTGTTTTTGGTTTTAGCCATTCTGACAGGAGTAAGATTGTATCTCAGAGTTGTTTTGATTTGCATTTCCCTGATGGCTAAGGATGTTGAGCACTTTCTTATGTGTCTTTTAGCCAATTTAGATTCCTCTATTGAGAATTGTCTCGTTCTGTACCCCACTTTTTAATTGGATTAGTTGGTGTTTTGGAGACTAACTTCTTGAGTTCTTTGTACATTTTGGAAATCAGCCCTCTGGCAGATGTGGGATTGGTGAATATCTTTTCCCATTCTGTGGGCTGCCGTTTTGTCTTGTTGACTGTGTCCTTCGCCTTATAAAAGCGTCTCAGTTTCAGGAGGTCCCATTTATTAATTGTCGATCTCATTGTCTGTGCTACTGGTGTTATGTTCAGGAAGCATTCTCCTGTACCAATTCATTCAAGGGTATCACCTACTTTCTCTTCTAAGAGGTTCAGTGTGGCTGGATTTATGTTGAGGACTTTGATCCATTTGAACTTGAGTTTTGTGCATGGCAATACATATGGATCTATCTGGTCTTCTACAAACCAGCATCCAGTTATGCCAGCACTATTTGATGAATATGATTTCTTCTTTCCATTGTATAATTTTAGCTTTTTTGTCAAAAATCAGGTGTTTGAAGGTGTGTGGGTCCATATAAGGGTTTTCTATTTGATTCTGTTGGTTTACCTGTCTACTTTTGTGTTAATACCAAGCAGTTTTCTGGATTATAGCTCTATAATAGAGCTTGAAGTCAGGGATGGTGATGCCTCTGGACATTCCTTTATTGTACAGGGTTGTTTTGGCTATTCTGGGTCTTTTGTTTTTCCATATAAAGGTGAGAATTGTTCTTTCAAGGTCTGTGAAGAATTGTTCTGGGATTTTGAAGGGGATTGCATTTAATCTGTAGATTGCTTTTGGCAAGATTGCTATTTTTACAATGTTGATCCTAATTAACTAAGAGCATGGGAGATCTTTCCATTTTCTGGTATCTTCTCTAATTTCTTTCTTTAAAGACTCAAAGTTCTTGCTATACAGGTCTTTCACTTGTTTGGTTAGCATTACCCCAAGGTATTTTATGTTGTTTGTGGCAATTGTAAACCTTGATGTTTCTTTGATTTTTTCTCAGACCATTTATCTTCTGTATATAGTAGGGCTACTGTTTGTTTTGGGTTAATCTTGTATCCTGCCACTTTGCTGAAGATGTTTATCAGCTGTAGGAGTTCCATGGTAGATTTTCTCTGGTCATTTTCGTAAACTATCATATCATCTGCAAATAGTGAAAGTCTGACTTCTCCTTTTCCAATTTGTATCCCCCTGATCTCCTTTTGTTGTCTTATTGCTCTAGCTAGAACTTCAAGTACAATATTGAAGAGGTGGAAAGAATGGACAGCCTTGTCTTGCTCCTGATTTTAGAGGCATCATGTTGAGTTTCTCTCCATTTAGTTTGATGTTGGCTGTTGGCTTACTGTATATAACCTTAAACTTTTCTGATCCTTGTGTCTAAACCTCTCAAGTGCTAAGGGTTACAGTTATGCATTACCATGCCTGGTTTATGCAGTACTGGGGATTGAACCCAGGGCTTTGTGCATGCTGGGCAAATGCTCTATCAACTGAGTTACATCTTTGGCCCATCCTTTTTTGTTTTTATAGTCTTATGTAGTATTGTTTTTTAAATAAAAATGTATATGACTTTGATATCTTAAAAACAAGTTATTTTAATCAAGGCCTTTTATTGCATAATTTGGAAAAATATCACAAATTTCCCACTTAATCAAGGAGAGATTGACTGAAAACTCTTATCCTTAAACCATATTACATTCAAGATTTGGCTACCATCCTGTAAGAAATTTTCAGTGTTGTCTTTCTGCCCTGACCCCATTGTAATAGAGTTTGTCTCAAGATCCTGGTGGTGTACTAACCTTGACTGCAGGTCTTCCCGGTGTACCCTGGAAAGCATCTACATTTATTCGGTCCCACACACTCACCGAATTTGCATCTGGGCTCACACGTAGCTGTAAAAGGAAAAGATCCTGATGATACAGTCGATACAGTGATAGTGTGCCTTCTACACAATAGAGAACTCTTTGGGAATGGATTGAGAATCTGTCTCCTCTCGACTCTGCTTTGACCTTTCCAACACTGGGCAGGGGTTGCCTTTTGAATAAAACCAGCCCCCACACCCACCATGCAATGAACAACAATATATTGTACTCATTTGCTTAATGTGGTTATGCCTCCAGTGCTACAAAGCTCCCCAGACCACACAGCCAACCATTTGTGTGTGTCAACCCAAAATAATAATAAGGAAAAAAGAGTATTTAAGAGAAAGCCACACCAGAGTAACTTGGGCAAATTCCAAGGATGGAAATGGAAGTCTCCTCCATTTCTTTCTGTCATTGTCTCATCCCATCTCTTATTTCTGTACTTTTCTTTCTTTCTTTCTTTGTGTGTGTGTGTGTGTGTGTGTGTGTGTGTGTGTGTGTACATATGTGTGTATGTTCACATATGTGTGTATGTGAATATACATATATGTACTTTACTGTGAAAGCCAAAGGACAACCTTTGGTGACATTTTTCAGTTGGCATCTACTTGTTTTAAAAAACATTTATTTATTTGTATTTGGGGGTGGTGAATACATGTGCCATGACATGCATGGGCAAGCATGGTAGCGAGGGGGTTCAGAGGACAGCTTGCAGTAGTTGGCTCTTCTACCATGTGTGTCCTGGGGATCAAACTCAGGTTGTCAGACTTGGTGGCAAGGGCCTATACCCAGCGAGTCATCTTAGTGCCACCCAAATCTTGTTTCCTGAGACAGAGTACCCCACGAGCCTTAAGGATTACAGATTCAGTTAGACTGGCTGGCCAGTGAGTCTCAGGGATCCACCTGACTCTGCCTCTACAGTTCCAGGATTGCAAACATGTACAACTATACCTGGCTTATTTATTTATTTATTTATTTATTTATTTATTTATTTATTTGCATGGGTTCTGTGGATCGAACTTAGCTCCTCATGTCTTTTGTGACAAGCACTTTACTGATTGAGCTATGGCCCCAGAACTACTTATTTTTTTTCCCTTTGGAATGATCAAGATCTTTTTAGTGTTGCTTGTTATCATTAAATCTGAACAGCTCACTCTGATGGGCACTCCAAGCATGGTGATGATGGCAGTCATAGAAGAGCTAACAAAGGCAGGGATTGTTTTTCTGTTACTGACGTTTTTATCCTGCCTGATACATGGCATGGAGTAGGCATTCAATAAATCTTTCCTCAGTGAACAAAATGGTAGCCTAAAACAAGAGAGCCAGAATGTTGTAACTGAATTGGGGGCAAGGAAAAAAATGATCAAAGATGATGGCAGGTTTGAATCAGGCTCATGGGAAGGAGGTAAGAAAAAACGAGTATGAGAATTTCTGTCTATTACTGTATCCTCAGTGTCTTTGGGCAATTCATTTTCCTCCGGCAGCATTTTATGTCATTTGTGCATATGCTACATATGAGAAAATACATGCATCACATGCAAACATGCCATATACAAATATATCCTATATATGCAAATAGATTGCAGTGCTGGGGTGGAATGCAGAGCCTTGTTCATGTTAGTCTACTGGTCTACCACTGAGCTACATTCCTAGCCCTTGTTTTTGTTTTTGTGTTTGTTTTTGTTTTGAGACAGGGTCTCACTATGTAGCCTAGGCTGACCTTGAACTCATGATTCTCTTACTTCTCCTTCTCTAGTGCTGGGATTAGAGATGTGTGCCACCATACCCAGAACACATATTTTTTCCAAAAGTGAATAAAGCAACAGATATAGAAATTGTAACAGGGAAGCATTTTAGTTCTGAACAAGTCCTAACTAAGAAGGCAAGGAGAGGAAAAAAACTTACCCAGCAAAAATTTTCCACTTCTAGAGACTAAAGAGATGGAATTTAATTTTCAGTGTCTCCTTTGTTATAAAGATGTACTTGGTGATGCAGCTTTAAGTTCAGATGTTAGAAAAATAAATCTTTTATTGTTTTTTTTTAAGTCTCAGATTCCTGTGATTGCTCCCTGGAAGCTGATTTCCGATGTGATCCAGACAGGAAAGCCCAGAATGAATGCCAGACAGCACACAGGAGAAATGGTGAGTAATAGCCTTGCTTTAAGGTCGACACTTCAGAAAGATGTTTTCAATTTACAGTAACTTTGGATCTGTGACCAGAGCAGCTCATCCCGCAAAGGGAAATTCAGTTTGTGTCTAAAACAGCCAGAGGCTGAGACACACTTTGCACAAAGTCAAACTCTCATGCTTAGTTCTCTCCCCCAGACTCCCCCATCTGTAGTTTTTCATCCGGGATTTGTCCTTGGCCCGCACTTCGTTCCTTGTGACATATGTTTTGAGGTTAATGATACAGACTTGATCAGACTCCACCACTGAGAGAACATTTAGACAGAGGCAGAGGCCAAAGGCTGGGGGTGTGTAGGCTCCAGTGTGCATGGGTGCAGGTCATTGAGAGAAACAAAGAATGGACAGTGGATGGAAGAGAAGGAGTGTGTGGACTGGGACCTCCCAACAAGGGTCTGGTATTGCTTGTTGGGGCAAGTTGATATGTGTTTTTCTTTCTGCACAAGCTGAACTCTGGTTTAGGAATAAGGAACCTAGGAAGTGGGGAGTGACTATCCTTGTTATTTTGTGCTCCTAGGAACATATAACCTTACCAAACAAGAAGGATCATGCAGGGGCTAGGAATGTAGCTGTTAGTAGAGTGATTGGCTAGAATGCAGAAAGCCTTGAGTTTGGCCCCCAGCACTACATAAACTGGGCATGGTAGTGAGTGGCTATAATTCTAGCACTCAAGCAGAAGGATCAGGAGTTCAATATTGTCTTCAGCTATGGATAGAGCTTGAGGCCAGCCTGGGTTACATGAAACTCTGAAAACTATTCAATAAAATATGATATATATTTTTAGGTCTAGAAGTCATCCATTGCAAAGTAAACCCGACTATTCAACACAGGCAACAGAGTTGCTAGCCATCTTTAGCTTGCAACATCTGCATATTGAACATTTTTCTTAAATTTTCCCACTGGATCTTTTAACCTTTTGCTTCACGTTCCTTTGTGCTTGTGATACATAGTCCATGAAATCTCTGAGGTTGTGATTGGCTGTACATACTATGGCCAGACTTCTCTGATCCAGTTGAAGAATAGTCCTTGCTGAAAGTCAAATCTCACTCTCATTTACTCACCGAGTTTTATGGCAGTAAGTGTTGAGGTTCACGAGAGTGTAAGAAATTATAAGTCACATGTCTCAGGTGACTTTTACCTCTTTCCACATGACTGCCTTCAAAGAAGACTGTTTTGAAGGGCAGAAGTGTGACAAGAGCCATTGCATTTTTTTTCTGCGTGACAAGCTTTAAGTACATGCTTTAATGTCTCCACTCTGCACCTTCTGAGGGGTATTGTACTTCCATGCTCCAGAGGAGGAAACAGAGCCTTAGTTAGCTTCACTACCTTCTCCAAGTTCACCCACATCAGTCTAGTGTATGATGACTTTGATCAGAAAACATTTAATCAGGGTGAGGACTGCTGTGTGCTAAGCAAGCATTCTACCAACTGAGCTACATCTATCTGCCCTTTTAATTGACACAGGTCCCAGAGGGATGCTTTAACTTCCTTAACTGGATAGACAATTATGATCTTCATTTCTTCCTTAGCATCTCAACATTCTGGTCATCCCATTATGAAGAAGCCCTGATGGCTGAAAGTTTTGAATAACAGGGGATGTGTGGAAACAGTATCCATGTCTTCTGTTGTTTCATGGATTTCAGCTATTATCAAGTTCTGCCCTCCTCTGGAGTCAATCTAGGTATTTTAAAATCTTGTATGTATTCTTTGACAATTTTATACATGTATACTATGTATTTTGATCATAGTCAGCTCCCATTATACCTCCTCTTGGCCCCCTCCTACTCCCTCTGAACTCCTCCCCAACAAGTTCTCCTCCTACTTCCACATCTTTTGCCTTTTTAGACCCTGTGGTGATTTGAGTAAGCATGGCCCCCACAGGCTCATATATTTGAATGTTTGCGCATTAGGGAGTGGCACTACTTGAGAAGGACTAGTAGGTATGGTCTTGTTGGGGTAGGTGTGGCCTTGTTGGAGAAAGTGTGTCATTAGGGGTGAACTGTGAGGTTTCAAAAGCCCAAACCCATCCCAGTGTCTCTCTGCCTTTGGATCCACATGTAGAACCCTCAGCTTCTTCTCTGGTACCATATCCTACCATTGTGATAATGGACTAAACTTCTGAAACTGTAAGCCAGACCCAATTAAATGCTTTCTTTCATAAAAGTTTTCTTGGTCATGGTGCCTCTTCACAGAAATAGAGCAGAGATTAAGACAGACTCACTGAATTTAATTAGTGTGTTTGCTTAGCCAAGGGTAGTTGTGGGAATATTGGGGCAGAGGGAACTTATCAGTGCCTACCCTATTGAAAAATAATGACTGCCACCACCCCAGTAGCTATTAATCTAGCTATTTGGGGGCCAGTTAGAATGCAGGGGTTTGGGTCAGGTATAGGCCTATGAGGGGATAATGTAGTTATTTCTAAAATAGCTAGCATTTTAATGCACTTATGGAACACTCAGGCATATTATTACCCCCATTTAACAGACAAGGAACTCATGATCAGTCATTTGAGACCAGATTTCTACCCCAAGGTAATGAACTCTATCCCAGACAATGTAACCAACTACCTTGGAGAAATTCAGGGTTGATGGTTCTCTATCATAAATATGGGTCATTATGGAAATCCACATAAAAATCAACACAAGGCAGAAATCTATGTCCATCTCAGCTCTCAGAAATCCTCTGGAAATTAACAGAGGTTTCTCATGTAAGCTCCTAACACAGAATCTGAGATATAGTGTCTAAGAAAACTCCTGTTTCCTTAGTCTGTAATCTGCACAAAATAATACAAAAAACACAACACTTTTGCAAACATGCATGTATTTCTTGCCATTTGAAACTGCACTTGGGAAATTTAAAAATGGGGGTGGCACATCTATAAGCTATAAAGGTCTCTGTTCCCCTTTGTAGCCAGAGACTACTTGGCTACTAGCCTGCAATTAATAATTAGAATGTATATTTCATTAGAAATCAGTTGAAAAACCTATAATTAGAAGGAGTTCATTGGTCTGGTTTTGACCATCTCAGTTTCTACAGATTGAATCAAATCAAAGCCAAAGCAAGCCCCAGTTTTACTTACTTAGACAGTAACAGAAATAATAAGAAACAAGAGAGTCTCCTGAAATAATGCCCATCTAGTATGATAGTGTCAGCCATTCTAGATGGGACTTTGGGTATTGGTGGTTACCCTCATCCTTACTCCAGATAATCCATTGGTAATGGTGTCACAGATAGCAAACTGACCCAAATGGAAGGGAAGTTTGGATTTTTACAAAAATTACCTTCACATATTCCCTTGCTGTTCCTTTTCCAGCCATAGCAGCAGGCCATCTTAGTTCCATAGCGACAGACCCCAGGCTGGTGTGCCAGTGCCGGCAACCCATAATCCCTTGGACTGTGAATAAAAAAAAAAAACACATGTTAATATGGAGAAAACAGAGAGGGTCACAGAGACTCTTCCTTGCCACAGAAGCAACAGGAAAGATGTCAAGTATATGGGTGATTTCCACAGACCTGAAGGAAATGCTAGATTCCACAGGGTTGGGCGGGGGGATCTGAGTTTGGGAGTTGGCAGCCTCTGCCTTCCACCCCTGACAAGCTTCCTTCTGGTATTGTCCCTTTCCTTTTTGCTTTGGGTTAAAGAAATTGATTACAGAATCTATAAAGGTAGAGTGTATGAAAGTGACCAAAACTTTGGACATTTCTGAAACTGGTAGAATGCCACTTCTCTGATCTGTTTTGAATGGATACAGTGGCTTTCCAGTTCTGGCTTTGTGTCAGTGACTCACTGGCTAAGTGGCTTTGGCTCAGACAAGAGCTCTGAACTTTTACCTCATGGACCACCTGGAAGTCATTGAACAGCTTGGAATCACCATACACTAGGACAGTTAAGAGATATTCTGCTAAGTCATCTCAGGTTACAGAGGAGGGAACTCCAACAGCACACAGTGGAGGCAAGTCCCCAAGCAGAGCCAGGTGCAGGGGATTTAAACTTGCTGAGCTTCAAATCAGCCTCTTGGAAACACCATTTATTAAACTCTTAACTATTAGGCAACAATCAGCAAACATTTTCTCAAAGGAACTCGAGGTAAATATTTCAGGCTCCACAGGCCATAGGTTTCTGTCTATGTGCAAAAGCAGCCATAGGCAATTGCAAACAGATGGGTATGATTGTTCCAATAGCACTTTATTTCTGGGCTTGGGAAGCTAGCTGGCTAAGTCAGCAAAGTGTCTTATGTATACCAGACTGGCCTTGAACTTGCCTTGTAACCAAGGTTGACCTTGAACTTCTGGTCTTCCTGCTCCCTCTTTCCTCGTACTGAAATTACAGGCATGCAATATTGTTTCCGGTTTGGTCTGGTTTGGTCTTTCCTAGTACTGAGATTACAGGTTTGCACTACCATTTCTGGTTTTGGTTTATTGGGTTGTTGAGGACCAAACTCTGGGCTTCCTGGGTGTCTAGTGAGCACCCTTTCTACTGAACTACATCCACATCCATAAACACAGTATTCTTTTATCCCGTCATCAACCATGGGGAAATGTTAAAACTGGTTTTGGTTCATATGTTGTATGAAAATGGGGCCACCTTGGTTTGTGGGTTGCAGCTTGCTGAGCTCTGATCTGAAAAGTGAGCTCCTGACTCCCAGGAAGAGCCTTAAGTGACACTCCCAGAGAGGAAGCTCCTTGCCGGTTTACCAGCTTGATGTCTTGGGGTTGGACAGGACTGCTACCAGACTAGAAGAAAAGCCATACAATTTCTGGAGGGCTGCATTTGATATTCCTCGTGCATATGAATCACAATGTCAAACCATTTCTTGAGCTCTTTAACAGATAAACAATGTACATTTTACCAGGTACAGGATTGAATATACGCTAGTTTGTAGTATCTTAGTCCAAGTCAGACAGTTAAACAAGCTTTTCCATTTCTCTCATAATCTTTCTGCCTTTCCTACAAACTTCATTTATAAGAGATAAAGAGGTGGAGTTTGGGATGGGCAGTGGTGGTGCGCATGCCTGTAATCCTAGCACTCGAGTGGCAGAGGCAGGCAGATCTCTGTGAGTTCGAGGCCAGCCTGGTCTACAAAGTGAGTTCCAGGACAGTCAGGGCCATTGCACAGAGAAGCCCTGTTTCAAAAAACAAAAAACAAAACAAAATAACAAAAAAGGTAGAGTTTGGGGCATCTCATTCACCAAGAGCACAAAATGCGAGAGAAAATAAAGGAACTATTTCCATTTTTAAATTTTTATTTATTTTTATTTTGAGATTGATAACTGACTTATATGCTACCCTATAGCCTTCATCTAGCAGCTGGTGGAAATAGAAGCAGACACCCACAACTAATCACTGAACTGAACTGGAATCCAGTTGCAGAGAAGGACGAGTGATGAGCAAAGGGGTCCAGACCAGGCTGGTGAAACCCACAGAAACAGCTGACCTGAAGGGGGAGGTCATGAACCCCAATCTGACAGCTGGGAAACCAGCATAGGAAAAACCAAACCTCCTGATCGTGGATGACAGTTAGGAGGCCTGGGCAATCTATGGGGTCTCTTACAGTGGATCAGTATTTATGCCCAATGTAAGATTGAACTTTGGGAGTCCATTCCACATAAAGGGATACTCTCTGAGCCTAGACACAGGGGTGTGGGCCTAGGCCCTATCCCAAAGGATATGGCAGACTCTGAAGACCCTCTATGGAAGGCCCCACCCTCCCTGGGGAGCAGAAAGGATATGTGATAGGTAGGGTTTTAGTTGGGGTGTGGTAGGGGAGAAGGGGAGGGAGAGGGAACTGGGATTGACATGTAAAACAATCTTGTTTCTAATTCAAATAAAAAAGTAAAAAAATATTTATTTTTATTTTATGTGCATTGGTGCTTTGCCTGCATATATTTCTGTGTGAGGGTGTTAAATACCCTAGAACTTGTTGGAGTTGTAGACAGTTGTGAGCTTCCATGTGGGAACTGAATCTGTGTCCTCTGGAAGAGCAGCCAGTGCACTTAACTGTTGAGCCATCTCTCCACCCCCCTATCTTTTCATTTTTAATAGAAATTCATAAGCTGTTCATTCAACTACTTAGAGCAGGTTTCTCAACCTCTATAAGACTGATATTGTAGGCTGAATGATTCTTTGTTTTTTGGAGGGTCTTGGGCACTCTAAGATATTTAGTAGCATCCCTGGTTCCTGTCTGTAGTTGTTAATAGCACGTATCCCCCAAGTTGTGACAATCAAAAAACATGTCCAGCTTAGCTGAGTGTGGTGGTACACACCTATAATCCTAGCAATCCAATAACACCCATAATCCTCTGGAGCGAGAGACAGGACAATCAGAGTCTAGAAAGATATACACAGCAAGTTCCAAGCTGGCTCGGGTCATATAACTAGGCATGGCAAGATGCTGTCTTCAAAACTTAAGTGACATTTGCCAAAAATCCCCCACAAGGCAAAACTGTCTTCTATTAAGTATTGTTACTTTAAAATGAAACATTTGTTGAGCTTTTTCTGTGTTCCAAGCTCTTACTTTGCCACATGGATGGAGCCAGCCTTTGATTTTTAGTTCATAATCTATGGCAAACAGATGCACAAGAGTATAGAGCAGCCTGGAAGCTACCATTAAAATGCTTCGAAAATGGGCTGCTTTCAATGCTTGGTACTGAACACATGTCTAGTTAGTGCATGTTAGGCTAGTGCTCCACCACTGCATCCCCAGGCCTGAGAAAGAGCTTTGACTGAGAAATATTGCAACTATGTGTTGTAAACAAATCTATATCTTCCTAACAAGCAATTCTACAAGGGTTGTGTACCTTGCTTTTGACCCACAACATAACTAACAGTGATCAAGGAAGACATTGTAGGCCACTGAACATAAACTGTGTGGAGTAAAAAGCTGTTATTCCATAAATGATGTCCTGAAACATTTTTGATTTTAGCATTTAAAAACTGAGATATAACACATAAAATATGAAATTGACATTTTAATATACATGCTTCCAGTCAGTGGGTTTTGCCATTCTCATTATATTATGCTCATATCACCTAGTAATTAATTCCAAGACATTTCCATCATCCCCCAAAAGAAATAGTTATTCCTAACTCCTCCTCTACATATCAGTGTAATGCCCTTGTAACCACAATTTTACCTTTAATCTATGCATTTGCCTTTTCTGGGTATTTCATATAAATAGAAACATATAATACATACCTTTGTGTGTCTAGCTTCTTTAACTTCAGGTTGTAGCACATAATAATAATGTATTCTTTTTATTGCAGAGTGGTACGTCATTGTATGGATATATACTGTGGTTTTATTGTTTACTCACCCATCAACTGATGGACATTTGAGATTTTTCACCTTTATCTATTATGAATAATGTTGTTATGAACATTGGTATACAAATTTCATATTTCTTGGTTATACACCTAGGAGTGGAATTGCTGAAATATTGAATATATTAAAATCCCAATTCAAATGTGGAATTATTTGGAGGTGGGGCCTGTGGGAGTCAATTAGATAACAAGAATAGAGTCCTCATAAATGGTATTAGTGCCCTGATAAGAGACAAGAGAAGTAGCTCACTTGAGAAGTCCACACCTGGAAGAGAACCCTCACCTGAATGCAACTGTGCTATCTCTTTGATCCTGGATTTACAATTCCCAGAATTAAGACTTAGGATGGACAGCAGTCAGCCACATGCAGTACGAGAAGGAAGATGACAGGTAGTGGGAACAAAGCGAGTGCAGACTGACATAAGAATCTGTTTATGCTTTCAGAACCCGGAAGATTAGCACAAACAGAGAGAAATGGGAGTGGGTTGGTGTAGGAAGAACATTAATGGTAGACAAGAATCTTGTAGTCTAGTTAGGGCTCTGAGGTTTTATGTCCTAATGGCAACAGCACAGCAGTGAAGGGAAGCAAGAAGGTTATTTGAAGAAATTTTCTATTAGCCATGTAAAGTAACACATGCCTCTGATCCCAGCACTTGGGAGGTTGTAACAGTCTTTGTTTTGGGCCACCAGCCAACTCACAAATCATGACATGAAGACTTCTTACTAGTTATGAATGCTCAGCCTTAGCTTATGCTTGTCCAACTAGCTCTTATAAATTAATTTAACCTGTTTCTCTTCATCTTTGTTTTGCCTTGGGACTTTTTTTTTTTTTACCTTTCTTTCATTGTGTATGTCTTTTTATTTTGCTTCTTCTATGTTTGGCTATCTGGCAGCTGCTTGACTGGCCGGCCCCTGGTGTCTCCCCCTATTTCTCCCTCATTCTCGCTTCTCTTTCTCACCTAGATTCCTCCTCCTACTTATCCTCTCTGCCTGCCTGCCTCACCTATCCCTCTACTGCCTAGCTTTTGGCTGTTCAGGTTTTCATTAGACCAATCAGGGGCTTTAGGCAGGCA